CCCCCCCCCCCCCCCCCCCCCCCCATATATAGCTTAATCGAGCAGAATTTGAAGATCAAGATGATGAAGCCAGAGTTCAGTATGAGGGTTTTCGACCTGGGATGTATGTTCGAATTGAGATAGAAAATGTCCCCTGTGAATTTGTGCTTAACTTCGACCCCCATTACCCAATGATTTTGGGTGGTTTGGGCAATAGCGAAGGCAATGTCGGATATGTACAGGTAGGTACCCTTTGCTGCATGCTTGACATTTGGGGTTCTTTGGATGTACTTCCACCAATAATCTTATTGAAATTGAAATCTCTTCTCCCCTCAGATGCGTCTGAAGAAACATCGTTGGTATAAGAAAATCCTCAAGTCCCGAGATCCAATCATTTTCTCTGTGGGGTGGAGGAGGTTTCAGACCATTCCACTCTATTACATCGAAGACCACAATGGGAGACAGAGGCTTCTAAAGTATACTCCACAGCACATGCATTGTGGAGCAACTTTTTGGGGTAATACGCTACTAGAATAACTTGCTTGTAGATTGATTTAAACCGTTTACTCGTTATCGTTATAGTTTTGCTTTTCTCCATTAAATCTCAATTCATAAGATTTTTCTTTCTATTTTTTTTGGATTGGAGTACATATTTAAAATAGAATCCAAAATTTGTGATTCACTGTATTTCTTTCTTTCTTTTTTTTTTTTTTCTATTTTCTTTAAGGTCCTATTACTCCACAGGGAACTGGGTTCTTGGCAGTACAGTCTGTTAGTGGCATAATGGTAAATATCTTGAATGTTTTATTTTCCAGATTATGTTTGAGGAATATATCTTAAATATGGAATATGTACATGAAACTTTAAGTTGCAAGTGACATGTTTTTAGTATTTATAGTAAGCTTCTCTTTGCTTTTAGTTTTCCTGTGTCTTTTTAAGTAAGGTGTGGGAATGGAGAAGGGAGAGGTAGAAGAATTATTATGGTACTGATAACATTTTATATTTGTATGCGTTTTTTGGACTTATTTTTCTAAAAATATTTAAGTGGTGCTCACCATGTACTAAGCATTGTACTTGGCTCTAGGGATATACCAGATACCAGGTAGACATAAGACTACCCCTTGGTACTGCTTGTTTAGCAGAGTATGTTCACACAGTCTTCGTTTGATCAATCAGAGCAGGTTTTATCGGCCCAGTTTGACATAAAAATTGAGCAATGAGCAGATGGAATCTGCCCTGCGGGTCTAAAATTTAATGTCTTAAACATTGTAACCAGATTTTCATATTGCTTTCTATTCTGAATCAGTCATTGTTGTGAAATTACGTGATTATGAAATCACCCTCTGGAGAATATTCAAGACATCATCATTAGTTTGGCTTATTACATGTATTATAGTTTCACATTGTTTTTGCTAAAATAATTGCTTTGCATGTTCACATATTGTTTCTTGTTCTTAGTTGATTGTAAGTAAAATGCACTATGGTAATTTAATGCATCATAGAATTGTAGTTTTTCTCCTTGATGTTACTCCTGTATTCAAATTTTGGGGGTTCTTCCCAGCCTGATTTCCGGATAGCTGCCACAGGAGTTGTCCTTGATCTGGATAAATCCATAAAAATTGTGAAGAAATTAAAGCTAACTGGTTTTCCATATAAAATTTTCAAGAATACATCATTCATTAAGGTCCGTATATCTGTATATTCACATTTATGAATGTCTATTTTGTGAAAGAAGGAATGAAATACTTCTAAAATACAGTCTGATGCATTCAAAAGAGTATTGAAATCTTTTATAAACTTGGTCTTTGATATTGGTTTACTTCTTTATATTGGTTTCTGTGTTACTTAAGTATGCTCAGAAAAGTTTAAGGTCAAGTTAACAGAGATATTTACTAATTGAGGCTATTCCTTATTCCATGTGAGACTGACAGAGCTAATAGTGAAAATATATAATCTCATTCACTGGGTTTTGTTCCCTGTCCTTTTGTTTTGCGTTAAGAAAAGGGGAAAATCATAGGTTTGTTAAATAGCTCGGTAGAAAAATAGACCAAGTATTTTGTAAAATACTTGTTGGCCAGGGGTACAGAGAAATGGACGCTCTGTTCTGCAGTGTAACGTGGGAGGGTGGTTTGAGTGACATTTATTGAAAATTTTATTAGTAGGGTGTTTCCATTAAAAATACAGTGTTAAGATCATAAAATATTCTTTATATAAAGTAATAATATCACCAGCATTTATCCAACACTCATTATTTCCTGAGCACGTGCACCTAAGTCATAGGATATGAGCTGCAGTCCAGCCCTGTGAGATGACAGCAGAGGCTATCTAGGGCTGTTCAGTCTAGTACATATCTTTTTGATCTTTTCTTCTACAGAGATATCAGTGATGAGCATGCTAATGAACCTACAGTAGAATCTTAATATTATTTTGGGAAAAATGAAATAGAGTTGTATTCCTTTTGACGTAGTAGTTCACTCGTAGTGGGGAAAATACATTTTGATTATTTTATCACCATTAAATGAGTTGTTTTTTTAACCAAGGATTTATTTATAAACTAGGAAGTAACGTATCTGATTTTGTGTTATGTGGGTTTTTTTTTTTCTTATACCTGTAGGGAATGTTTAATTCTGCTTTGGAAGTGGCCAAATTTGAAGGTGCTGTGATTCGAACTGTCAGTGGCATAAGGGGACAGATCAAGAAAGCACTTCGGGCTCCAGAAGGAGCTTTCCGGGCCAGCTTTGAGGATAAGTTGTTGATGAGTGGTAAATATAATCATGGTGTAATCATAACAGCATGTTACCGTTCACTGTTGATTTCTAGCCAGTGTGGATTCAAGGCTGTAGTTTAGGTTTTAGAAAATTGGAATCAGCTCCAGCTCTCCCCAGTTGGAGCATCTTAGGCGGTGTACTAAGTCATGCTGTGTGTGGAGCCATGTGATTCAGACCCAGTAAGAGTTTTGTGATATTTGAAATTTTACTTGGTGAAGTCTCTCTTCAAATACCATGCAACTAACTAGAGAAGTTTGGGGTGAATGTTCATTTGTTTGACAGGATCGTTACGAATTTTCTTTTGAAAATGTTCAAGTAAATTACCTCTCTTTCCAGATATTGTCTTCATGAGGACTTGGTATCCCGTCTCCATTCCAGCCTTCTATAACCCAGTGACTTCTTTGTTGAAACCAGTTGGTGAGAAAGACACCTGGTCAGGAATGCGGACCACCGGTCAACTCCGGCTTGCCCATGGTGTCCGACTAAAGCCCAACAAGGATTCTTTGTATAAGGTATGGTCACACATGTGCTCTGTAGATGGGGGTCATCCAGATGCTTTGTACATAATGTTTTTGAATGTTTTGAATTTTCAAGTAGGAAATCTAATGTTAAATTTGAATGAACATGTTGTATATTCATAGAGTATTTTGGCAAGAATGCAGGAAAGTGGTAATAGTTTTCGTGGGTTGGAAAGGAGACAGACTTTTCACTGTATACTCTTTTGAACTGTTTTTTTCCTGCCATATACATGTATTACTTTTAAAAACACTAATGTGCTAATTGTTATTGAAGCAATGTGGGTGGGTTTTTTTTTAAAGTTTTAGTAAACTTTGTAGTGAAGTGTTAACATGCATACAGAAAACTACACAGATCATAAGCATACAGCTCATGAATTTTAACACACCCAAAATTGCTGTTACCTGGATTAAGCAATAGAATTACCAGCACAACAAAAGCCTCCCTTATGACTGCTAGTCAATACCCCATCTCCACCTCAGAGATAGCCACTATCTTGACTCCTGACAGGTAAATTATTTCTGCCTGTTTTTTGAGTTTTATAAAATACCGCATAAACTATTTTGCCTGTTTTCTTTCATTCGGTTTTATGAGACTCATTCGTGTTCTTTGTATAGCAGGCATTCATTTGTTACTGTCAAGTAGAATTGTATTATGTGACAATGTCAGTTTTATCCATTGATGGACATTATTTCCAGTTTTGGGCCATTATAAATGCTACCCTGAATACTTAACGTGTGACTTGTTTGATATACATATGCACACATTTCTTTTACATAGACCGCCCAGGTTAGGATTGCCAGGTATAGGGTATGCATGTGTTCAGCTTCACTGGATGATGCTTGTAGTATTCTGGAGCCATACCAGGTTAGATTCCCACCACCAATAGTTGCCAGTAGTTGGCGTCATCACTATTTTTTTTTTATTTTAAGTTCTCAGTGCCTGTCAAAATCCCATTTCATTTGGATTTTGGTCTTGGAGAACTTTTATTATTTTCTTCACACGTTAATGCATTTGAAAAGATTTATTTTAATGCTGGGTATTTAATTGTTTTGTAATAAGAGGGTAGTTCAGGATATCAGTCTGCCATTCTGCCAGAAACAGAAGTTTCCCAGTCATTACTTTTTTAATGAAATAGTTAATAATACAGTTTTGAATTATGTTATGTGAATTTCTGTTAAAATGTATTACAGGATGTGGTACCTGTTGTCTAGCTTATGATGCTTAGTCTTTTTTTCAGAATGTGACTTCTCCAAGTTCCTTCATTCTAAGCATTTTAGGTTCCTAAATGGAGGAATATTGAATATTATCGTGGATGATGTCTTTCATAGTAAATTTAAAGACGTGGCAGAAATATTCTCTATATAGTTGATGTTGGCCTTGGTAAAGACCTAGGGCACGACTTTCAACTTCTTAGTATTTTTGAGGCAGCTAAGAATTTTGATCATCTCAATTTAAGCAGAGAAATTAGACTCCTGTAAAAATTGAATGCAGAGGGTGTTTGGCCTTTATGTCATTTTAATCTCCTTTTTCTCAGCTGGCTTTCCATGAGAAACAGAATAAAGTTAAACTTTTTAATGGCAGTCAGGGATGGGGACACTTTAGCTGCTGCTGATTGGAGGAAGAACTATGACCTTAAATTCACAGAGGTTGACTGTGAAGATGAACAGCTAGATTATTCTTCTTCAGATACAAGAAACTACCTCAGTGCCCCCAAAATAAGGCGTGGGTTTTCCATTAAAAGAAACTTTGGATCTGTTCATCTGCTCTGTTGAGATTCCCATAGTTCATCCCATAGACATGGACACAGTTGTTTTTTTGGAAGAACTATAAATATATTATATGTATTTCTCTGTTTTGCAACAGAGAAGTATACATCCATTGAGGCAATCCATATTTGATAGACAATTGAATCCTCATTTCTGATGATCAGCAGACTCTGGTGTTACTGATCATATGGAAAAATCAATTCACTGAGAAGATTTTAGGCAAGTTTTAAATGCATATAGAGCATCATTCAAATACATCACTGTCTTTATTTTTCTTTTCAGCCAATCATGAGGCAAAAGAAACATTTTAATTCACTCCACATTCCAAAAGCCTTGCAGAAGGCCCTGCCATTTAAGAACAAGCCCAAGACCCAAGCAAAGGCAGGCAAGATACCGAAGGACAGGAGGAGACCAGCCGTCATACGGGAACCTCATGAAAGGAAGGTACTGTCGATAATGGCTTCCTGCATCTTGCATTTAGATGTGAAAATAGCACTTTCAAGTAGCACATGTGGTGCTTCTGCATTCTCATTTTTCATTGGGAAAGGGTAAGGGCCAGACTTATTCAAGGCACTAGCACCAAAATTTAGAGGAGAGGCCAGAGTCCATTTCCCTTTTGTTTAGTCATGCTGTGTCTTACACATTTTAATGGGGAGTAATGGAAGCATCCAGCTGGCAAATCACTGTATTGTAGTTGTCCATAGTATCCAGAGTGATTAACAAAGGTGGTTTTGTGGTGAAAGCCGTTATTTAAGTATTTTGCTCTCGATACGCTCCTATTTCTGCTTCCATGCAAATTATGATGTCCTAGTTCAGGGCAAATTTTTCCTAGGTTAATGTTCATTTGGATCATGGATTGCTTCTAGTTTTGATACATCAGCTGAGGTGTTTAGGCCCCTGGAAACTTAGAAGGAAAGCATGATGTAAGAGTATTCTGATGCTAATGGGTTTTGTCCTTGTCAGATCCTTGCACTGCTGGATGCTCTAAGTACGGTGCACAGTCAGAAGATGAAGAAGGCCAAGGAACAACGGCATTTGCACAATAAAGAACACTTCAAGGTGAAGCAGAAGGAGGAAGAAGAGAAACTGAAGCGACAGAAGGACCTCAGGAAGAAGCTCTTCCGAATTCAGGGTCAAAAAGAAAGGAGAAATCAGAAGTCCAGCCTGAAGGGGTCTGGGGAGCCATCAAAATGAGCTTTAAACAGATAGTCTTTGCATCTGCAGAGGTGGATGGTTTCAAATACTACAGTACCTGTAAATGACAGCAGGGCACTGGAGCCCAAGGAAGACCCCTTTGTTGGATATGTTGCCCAGACTGTGCCTTTGAGAAGAGAAATGGAGACTCAGCTGATAGGACGCCCATTCATTCTCAGAGCCTAGGTTGTGTCAAGATTTAAAGCAATATTATTTATGGTTTTGTAGATTCCTTCACATTCCTCTTACCTTAGTTTTCATTTTTTGTGCTACAAAAATATTACTAAAATACTTAATTTTGGCTTAATAGTTTTCATCAGGGATGAATGCTTGATGATTGTGGATAAATTGCTGATTCTGCCATCCTCATGATGCGTCCTCCAAAGGGGAAAAAATATTAACTTGAAAACTCAGCTTTCAAATGTTAGAAAGGAGTGTATGGTTCAGTGCACAGCTGTTTCCCAGAGGCCATGTGATGGGTAATAGCGCAACAGGCTGACCTGACTGCACATAGAAGAATCCAGCTGCTTCTATTAATTTATGTCACCATATATGGGGCTAGTTTTGATCTGTTAAAACAAATTAATAAAAAAAATATTTTAAAATTTTCTCAGCTTTCATTTCTTACATGGTAAAAATTGATAGATACAACCCACTTGAAGAAAAACTCTTTGAAGTCCTTCAGTCATTTTTAAGAGTGTAATAAGGATCTGGAGATCCAAGCCCTAAACTACTCCCTTCTGAGGTGACCACCTGTGCTGCTCACTATGGTGTATCCAGAACCGAATGCTATTGGTGCCAGGCATCTTACAGGAGTACAATAAGTGCAGGGATGAATTAATTAAATTCCTGCTCTATCACTAAATGTGCTTCGATTTTTCCATAACTGCCAATACGCTGTGGCCTGGCAGCAAAGCATATAGGGGGACAGAAGGGGGGCTGCCGCCGAGCTTTCTGCCTCCTCCCTTTGCCTTGTGTAGCACACTTAACCTGCCCGAGATCCAAGGTGGCTTGCCAGTCTCAGGTGGGAGCACTTGAATGTGATAATGTGCCTTACAAACTAATTTCTGGCAAAGGTAACCGTGTAATGATATCCTGGTAGGGAACTTGTTACCTAGGTGGAGCTATTTTACCATCATCTTAAATTTCTTTTCCTTTCGGTGGGCTTCTGACGGAAGAGAGAACTGAAGACTGGCCTGGTGCACAAGGCTGGCTCAAATCAAGGATACCCATCCCAGCCCACGAGACCTTCTGCCCTCCACTGAGGGTAGGCAGTGAGAACCCCAGCCTGGAGGGCCATCCATGCCTGCTCTGGATGATGCCCTCTGCATCTGATAGAAATATGATGCTACCACGTTGACTAATGCAAGGGAAAAGGAAACAGGTGAAACGAACTTTAGTATTCTTATTTTTAAGCCATTATATCTAACATGTTATCATTATAACATACAGCCTGTGTTTTTATAGAATGAGATATTTGACATTTCTATTTTTTGTGGAGTCTTTGAAATTTCGTATGCACTTTACTCTTACAGTGCCTCTCAATTCAGATACTAAATTTTGTGGAAATACTTGATCTGTATTTAGATTTCATTAAGTTTATAGTTTAAAAAACAAGATTCATACCCCCTCGTTGTTTTAAATATGACTGAACTTGGTACTGGTTTTTAAGTTGAAATTAATTAAAATTAAACAAAACAAAATGTCCAGTTCTCAGCAGCAGTCATGCATTTCAGTTGCTTGATGGACTGCATGGCCAGTGGCTACGTTGAGGACAGTGTGGCTCTACAGTGTAGAAGGTCAGGAAAGGCTTCCTTAAAGGAAGCAGGTTAACTTGGCAAAAGGTAGGACTGGGAAGGGGAAGAGTGTGTCAGCCAATAGAAATGTACGTCCAAAGGCCTTGGGCACAACGCAGCTCGATACCTGCAAGCCGCTGTGTTTGAAGCCAGGATGGACACAGGGTTGCAGGAAGCTGAAGGGGAAGATAGAGAAGGAAATGGAGAGACAGGCAACAAAGCTGCATTAAGTTACTATCTTTATCCCAAGATACTAGAAAGCCCTTGGAGGATACTTAGTTGGGACAATATGGTCAGATTTGTATTTTTGAAAAATTCCCATTACTGCTGGGTAGAGACTAATTTGGAGGGAATCCAGGGATAAGTCTTGGAAGTAGGCTGAGGCAGGAAGGTGGTACAGAGATGGAGAAGTGGTAGATGCTAGAGCTTTAGGATGTAACACGGGAGGTATGTTGGATCTGAGAGTTGTGGGGAGCAAGGGGTTTTCAGGAGACCCCCCTGATTCCTAGGTGTCTGGCTTACACTGAGGATTTTGCTGTCTGGGCTGCTGGGTAGTGAGGAACTTGGCTTTAGGAAATGGTACCTGTGGGACAGCCATATAGATACGTCTGAAGAGGTAGTTAGGAATACTGTCAAGCTCAGGTTGACATCCTATCTGGGCTTAAAATGCATTGCTAAGAGACAGCAACACCTTCCTGGAAGTGGATGGAGTTACCTAGGGAGGAGTCAAAATTGAACACAGGTGGGTCTTAGTCCAGCATTCTTCCCATTAGGTCAATATTATCACACACCTCAAAATCACCAAGTCCAACCCGCATATGCAGAGCAGCCCAAGAAGCCCAAGGGATCCTGCTGCAGTTCACGTGACTAGAGCTGAGCAGGTCCAGCCAAGCACAGCTGTGCATAGAAGCCAGACATGTAAGTGACATCAACAAATAGGACAGCCTGTCTTTTCTGTGGGCAGACTTGACCATCCCAGGGGCTTAGGTGGAGGAAGGGTCTGGGTAGTGGACTCCAATGTCCACACCACTCACTGTGATGTGACTCTGCACAAGTTCATGAGTATCTCTGAGTTTCAGGTTCCTTGTCCGCAAGGTAGAGATAATAATCCAATCGTGCAGTCTGTGAGGATTTAATGAAATTACATTCGAAGTGACTGCTACAGAACAGATTTTCAAAGTTAGATTTCCTGTCTGGTCCCGTTTTAAAGAGGTATGTAGGTCTCTGTATTTTAGCATGTATATAGATTCATGTCACCAGTACCACAACTAAGATCCCAATCAGTCCTCTCTCTCCCAAGCACTAACTCATGCAATGTAGCCCTCCCAGCTGTCCTCCACCCCACCCTGCTACCTACTGACATATTTTTCCACACCATAGCTTTGTTTTGAGAATGTCGTGTAAGTAGAAGCATGAGGTACGTAATCTCTTGTAGTCGGTCACTTTTGCTGAGCATCGTACCTTTGAAATTCATCCCAATTCTTCTGTGTATTGTTGATGCTGTCCTTTTGATTATTGAATAGTATCCAACTGTACAGATGGACCACAGCTGGTCATCCATTCACCAATGGAAGGACAGTGTGGTTTTTCCCATTTTTTTTTATGAATATGAATATAGCTGCTATAAACATTTGTGTGGAGGTTTTTGTGTGAACATATGATTTCATTACTGCAGCGTAAATACCTTGGAGTACGTCATATGGTCTAATGTAGCTGTCAGACTCTTCCAGAGTGGCTGTTCCATTTTTGCATTCACACCAGCAATAAAGAGAGTTTTAGCACTCTGCCTGTTCACCATCACTTGGTATTGCCAGTGCTTTTTACATTAGCCATTCTACTGGGTACTGTGGAGAAAGAGGATCTCTTACTTGCCTTTCATATACAGTGACCTCTTTAGTGAACTTTAGGTTCAAGCCTTTGCCTGCTTTTTATTTGGATGTGCTTTTTCTTAATGTTTTAATTTATTTTTAGAGCATGTGAGCCAGGGAAGGGCAGAAAGAAGGGGATGGAGGGTCCAAAGCGGGCTCTGCACTGGCAGCAGTGAGCCTGATGCGGGGCTTGAAATCATGAACCGTGAGATCATGACCTGAGCCAAAGTTGGATGCTCAACCAACTGAGCCACCCAGGCACCCCTGGATTTTTTTTTTTAATCTAATTATTTATTTTCTATAATTTACATCCAAGTTAGCACATGGTGCAACAATGATTTCAGGAGTAGATTCCTTAATGCCCCTTAGCCATTTAGCCCATCCCCCCTCCCACAACCCCTCCAGCAACCCGTTGTTTGTTCCCTATATTTATGAGTCTCTTCTGTTTTGTCCCCCTCCCTGTTTTTATATTATTTTTCTTCTCTTCCCTATGTTCATCTGTTTTGTATCTTAAAGTCCTCATATGAGTGAAATCATGTGATAATTGTCTTTCTTCAATTGACAAATTTCACTTAGCATAATACCCTCCAGTTCCATCCATGCAGTTGCAAATGGCAAGATTTCATTCTTTTTGATTGCCAAGTAATATTCCATTGGATATATATACCACATCTTCATTATCCATTCATCCATCAATGGACATTTGGGCTCTTTCCATACTTTGGCTATTGTCGATAGTGCTGCTATAAACATGGGGGTGCATGTGTCCCTTCAAAACAGCACACCTGTATCCCTTGGATAAATACCTAGTAGTACAATTGCTGGGTCATAGGGTAGTTCTATTTTAATTTTTTGAGGAACCTCCATACTGTTTTCCAGAGTGCACCAGTTTGCATTCCCACCAGCAGTGCAAAAGAGATCCTCTTTCTCTGCATCACCAACACCTGTGGTTGCCTCAGTTGTTAATGTTAGCCATTCTGATTGGTGTGAGGTAGTAGCTCATTGTGGTTTTGATTCGTATTTTGAGTGATGTTTAGCATTTTTTCGTGTGTCGGTTGGCCATCTGGATGTCTTTGGAGAAGTGTCGATTCATGGCTTTTGCCCATTTCTTCACTGGATTATTTGTTTTTTGGGTATCGAGTTTGATAAGCTCTCTATAGATTTTGGATACTAACCCTTTATCTGATATGTCGTTTGCAAATATCTTTTCCCATTCCGTCAGTTGCCTTTTAGTTTTGCTGATTGTTTCCTTCACTGTGCAGAAGCTTTTTATTTTGATGAGGTCCCAATAGTTCATTTTTACTTTCTTTTCCCTTATCTCCAGAGAAATGTTGAGTAAGAAGTTGCTGCAGGCAAGATCAAAGAGGTTTTTGCCTGCTTTCTCCTTGAGGATTTTGATGGCTTCCTGTCTTACATTGAGGTCTTTCATCCATTTTGAGTTTATTTTTGTGTATGGTGTAAGAAAGTGGTCCAGGTTCATTTTTCTGCATGTTGATGTCCGGTTTTCCCCAGCATCATTTGCTGAAGAGACTGTATTTATTCCATTGGATATTCTTTCCTGCTTTATCAAAGATTAGTTGGCCATAAGTTTGTGGGTCCAT